TAGCCCAAGTAAGGGAAAGTTAGTCATTATTAGCCTGGTGTGAGACCAAAGAGTCTGAAGACTACAGAAATATTCTGTAAGAAATACAGACCGCTGTGAAGACACCCAGGAACATAACTAATTCAGTTATTTCCCTTTAACAGAAACATCACTTCTCTGGAAAGGTAATTTTGTGATTTTCACTTCATATAGAAGAAAACAGGCACAGGAAGGAAACCTGCCAAGACTTGTGCATGGAGGCACGGGGCCCTATGCTGAGCTGACCCTGCCACTGTCAAAACCCTGCCTGCCCATCCCTCTGGCTAACAGTGGCTCACACTGCTTTTCATAGAAAGTGTTCTGTGTTCATCTCCCTCATGTCTTTACACCATGCTTTCATTTTTCCCACCTTATTTTCTCATCCACTACCCAAGTGTTCATTTTTTATAGCCCTGACAGAGGCTATTCTGTGTTGTGCCTCTCCCCTAGAAGCGGTAGAGATAAATGCTTTAATTCTGTTGTTTCCTTTCATACTGATCTCTAACAGACGGTTCAGTGTCTAAACAGGGACAGGATTATAACTGGACTGCACTCTTGGTTATTATTTAAAACCCAGGTCTTAACTGCAAGCTACAGGAACTGTTAGTAACATGACATAGTTAAAAAGTGACCATTTATATTATGCACACTGCACAGGTAATTTCAGGATATTTTAAATAAATACAGACAGAGAAAGATTATTGAAATACTTTAATTTCTCTTGTAAATTCTCTGTAGCATAAACCAGGGCAGATGGTACCACAAAAATAAAAAATAAAAAAATCCCGTATTTATTGATCACACTTATTACTTGAGAAATTATACTTGCAAAATGGAACAATAACATGTAGAATTGAAATACAGTGGGATATTCAAGGTAGATACAAAAGTTCAAACATGTACGAGCAGTGACCCTCAGAGAAATAAAAGGTTAAAGAGGAAGAAATAATGAGTGGAGATTTTCTCAGAACTAATGAAGAGTTCAGCTCAAACTGACAATCTAAACAATGTCAGAGAAGTAGCATTCTGAGATGAGATTTGAGTGCTACAGCAAGCACCCCTGATGCATAGCAATGCAGAGTAGTCTGCACCCAGGAGAGTCTGTGGGGAGAGCCCTACAGTCTCCTTCAAACACCAAGGTAAAGAGACCAAACGCATTCATGTAAAGTGGCCAGAAAGGCAATTTCAGTGCATTCCTTAAAAATGGCTGCCATACACACAAGGCCACACTCTGACACAGTGCACTGATCTTAGAAACAAGAAACACTCCAGTCCTTATGCACACAGTTAAATTCTTTATAAATAATTCATAGGGTAAAGAAGTAACCCCAAGAAGAAATGGCAGGCCGGGGATATAGCACAGTGGCACAGTGCCTACTTGGAAAGCACAAGGTTCTGAGTTCAGTACCCTGTACCAAAAAAGACCCACAAAACACTGCCAGCTAGTGAACACTTTGATGTGCATAAAAAATGATTAAGTCACTGTATTTTATACCTGTTGCCATGGAACCACATTATACTTACAAAAAATTTTATAGGCTAAACAGTACATATTGAAATGAAACGTAAACAAAGATTTCAACCTACAGAACCAGAAAAATATACAAATAAGTCCAGGAAATATATAAGAAATTTAAAAATAAAGGCAAATTATAATGAAATGGGAACAAGGAGGTAGGAAATTTTAAGCACTAGTATCTTTGAAAAGACACAACTTTGAAAAATATGAAAACAAAAAATATAAATTAAGGAGAAACATATTTCTCAGTTGCTCAACTTAAAAGCATTTGAGAGGGCTGGCAAGATAGCTCAGCCAACTAAGCACCTACTTATGCAAGCACATGGACTGGGGTTCAATCCCAAGCACATGCCACACCATCCCTGCACCAGGCACATTGACCCAGCCAACAACTCCGGGACTTATAGCACTCACCTATAATCCCAGGACTGGGGAGGCTGAAAACAGGAGGATCACTATGAGTCGAAGCTGTGTAGTATACTGAACACATTAAAAAAAAATAGTTTAAAAAAATCAAGAACTCTTAGTTTGTTCATTTAGAACAGTCCTTCCTCCCTAAACTGAACACAAACCTGGCACCTTCCCACTTCAGGTATATCCTTTTATTTTTTTCAGACAATTTCTCACTCAGTCAATCAGTTGGCCAGGCTCAATTTTCAGTCCTCTTACTTTAGCTTCCTAGAGTGCTGGGACTGCAGGTGGGCACCACACATTTGGCTCTGTTTATTTTTACAAGCCTTACCTTTTAGAGATAAACTAAAGGAATTTGAATAACACACCTGTGGTTTCATTCACTTTCCATGACAAGAACAAGCCTGTCCATGAGCTGATGCTAGTTCTAAATGAACCATGACTGCACAGTGCTTACTATACGGATGCAGTTTTGTGAATGGTTGACATTTTTTGGAACAAAAAGCTAAAAATACTTCAAAAACATAAAATTAGCATTTGACATTATTAAAGCCTCTGTACTAACAAATTTTTAAGTCGCAATAAGGAGCACTTAAAACAAGAGGAAGCACATGGTATGAGCCAGACTCTGTCCTGAGTCATCTATCTATGTGTGTGAGCCGAGAGTTAAGCTCTAGTCTCACTTGGAGACTTCGGCTCGTTCCTTCACCTCAATGCACTGCTTCTTTATCCCCAGGTGCAGGAAATACTACTGCTCTTGCTGAGGTTACTGGACATTAAGCTGGCGCATATCTTAGAGCTCAGCATGTCCTGTACAAGGTTCCACCTAAACAATAATACAGGCAGACTACCACATAACTGAGGGAAACAAACATGGCTAGCACTGGAGAAAAGTAGATTTTTGGGGTATGGATACAGAAACATAAAAAATACAATCTCATGCTAAACACCAACATATTAAAATAATTACACTTTAGGACAAAGATTTATCCTGGTGATACATACTGCTTAAACATTATGAAAGTCCTATCCTTCAATTTAAGACATCATTAAAGAAATTTCCCAGGGCTGGTTAGATAGCTCAGAAGAACAAGCACTTGTCAGGCAAGCATAGGGTCCCGAGTTCAATCTCCGGTACCATAAAAAAAATTTTTTTCCCAAAATAATCAATAAAAAGTATATAACAACACGACACATCCATGACCCACCTAAATCAACTCTCAGGAAGCTAAAAACAGGAAGGCTTCTCTTTGACCTGATACCCATTACCTGCCTGTAGCTCACATTCTTACTTCACACTGGAAACTCAGAAGCTTGACCATGAAAGACCCAATACCTGCTCTCGCTGCCAGGACATAAAAACTTTAGGTGCCAACCATGGAAGTAAGAGCAGAAGACAGAAGAGTAAGTGGTAAACAGGCAAAACTCACCTTATTGGCAGATAGATGCAGCCAAGAACACACAGAACACAGAAGTTAGCAGAATGTGAACAGAATTCTCCTCTGTGACTGGACACAGGTACACCACTGGAAAATGAGTAACATCCCTACACAGCAGCAGGATCTCCACAGACCTAGCAATAAGTTTCAAACGGAATCACAGGGACTTTAGAAAACATTCAAAACTGACCAAAGCATACGGAGGAAGACATTATATTCAGGAACAGAAAAATGAAAAGCTGAAAAGACGTGAATTTCCCGAAATCCATCTATGTATTCTGTGTAACCTACTCAAAAAGCTAACAGTGTTTGTTTTTCAAATTCTGCTTTCAAAACTCTTATGAAACAGGGTAAAATACGTGGAAGGTGAGAGGTCTTTGGAAATGAGTGCACATGAGGGTGATTCATGGGACTTCAGGGTGTGGCTCCATGGCAGAGCAAGTGTTTGGCATGCGTGAGGCCCAGCACTAGAAAAAAAAAGGGAAATGTATAGCATGTGTGCTTGAAACACTTACAGAATTAAGTAAGTGTAGACAGCCAAAGTATTATGGAAATTTGCTTTTTCATGACTTACTAAAAACCTTCATGAACTGAATATGGAGAGGCACAAAAAATAAACAGACTAAGGCCAAAATAGAGCAATCAACACTTGGCCTGCACATATAGAAATCCAAACTATAATGAAAAGGCAGCTTACGTCAGTGAGCAGTGGTTGAAAAACAAAAAAGCTAAACTCAGAACCCCTCCCTTACATCTAAACAAGAATAACAACCAATAAAAAATTAAACATAATGAAAAAAATTAGAAAACTCGGGAAAATATCTAAAAAGCAGAAGAAAAAGCTGTTTTCAGATGGAGCCGTAGAGTCACTTGCCACTTAATGACAAGCATGAATTTGGAGCAGTGTGCTATGGGTGAGTTTGATGTTGGGCAAACATCAGCGTGTACTTACACAGCCGCGGAGGACAGATTGAGTATTACATCACCAGACGTGCCCTGCACTTCACACTCCTGGCAGAGCAGCAGGTGTGCACACCACCACCACCCCCAGGACACCGAGTGCCGAGCTGCACTAAGCAGTTCCTACACTGCAGTCATCACTGGGCAGTAGGAATTTTCAGCTCCACTGAGTTCACAGGATGATCATAAATACTATCCACCATTAAGCACAGAACTACATAGCACAGGACCTCGGATTTCCTTTTGTATTCTTTGTAAGTTCAGGTTAGCTGTTTGAAGAAGCTTGAAATTTCTGCTCAGAGTGCCTTGCCCCTTAAGAGCCCACACAGTTCAGGTCTCCCTGTGTTGTTTCCCTACCCTAGCCCAGCTCATTCCCAACACCAGATACATTACTATCTCAAGGCTGCTTCTGAGCCTCTCGTTTCCTATTAGAGGTCAACCTGCGCATCTGATCAGGCACTTGGAAGATGTCACATCCACAGTGACTGTTAACCCCGGAGCCAGCTTCCAAATCCCGCCTGGGCAGTGTTTCATCCACTTCTGTCTCCTAGAACAGATGTGAATACTGTCTGCCGAGCTCCAAGTGATTTCACTGTAATATATATCCACCCCTTAGGACATCTGAAACAGCTTCTCTTCTTTCCCTCCTTCAGGTATGGAGCAGTTTCAGCAGGAATGTTATGTGCCCTTACCACCTTGTCGCAGCAACTGGAGAACGAAAATGCGGTGGATGTTTTCCAGGTTGCAAAGATGATCAATCTTATGAGACCGGGAGTTTTTACAGACATTGTAAGTGGTTTTCCCATACTTAAAACCTGTGTTATTATGTTTTCATACACTGTAGCACAGGGGCTCTCAACTGACAGGAAGTTGTCTCCCAGGAGATGTCTGGCAGTGTCTCAAGATGTTCTGTCATAACTACAGATGACAAGAGCCATTCCAACATTTAGTGAGTAGAGGCCAGATATTCACCTAAATATCCTACCATGCAAAAGCAGCTCCTACAACATAGAAATATCTGGCCCTAGATGTCAGAGCAGCAGTTGAAAAATTCTGCTTTAAAGTCGAGAGTTCCGATTGTAATACACAGTTATCTTACTGGACTATGAACTATGAGGATTGTTTCTATGTTCCTAGAGATAAAAGGATACAAGGAACATGTGGCTCATAATTACAGAAGATTAAGTAATTTTCTTCAAGTATCCTAGATAACATTTGTTTTTCCTGCCTCTCTAGCAGTTTTCAAAATTCCCCTTTCCGTCGGTATTTCTGCTGAATACGATGACTGTGCTTCATGGCTCCAACTCTTCCTCTTGTGTTTCAGGAACAATACCAGTTTGTCTATAAAGCAATGCTCAGCTTGGTCAGCACTAAGGAAAATGGAAATGGTCCCATGGCAGTGGACAAAAATGGTGCTGTTCTAATTGCAGATGAATCAGACCCTGCAGAGAGTATGGAGTCTCTAGTGTGACTGGAATTCTCAACGGGAACTTCTTTGTAGACTTCTGAAGACTGAAAACTTTCTTGAGGCCTTTTTTGCCAGACTCTAGGTTATACAATAACCCAGTTACTTTTTTACACTGATAAAAGTTTTGATATTTATTTTTTGCCATTTTATGTCTTAATGGTATCCTACCAAGCATTTGCTCCTCTGTTCATTTCACACGGTGAAACACAACTTTACCTAGTTTGCACTATATGATCAGTGTTACTGCCTATAATCTAATTACTAAAGCAAATCCCAGTGTGACATTCCACGACAACACTCTTGCTACCTTTTAGTTCAGCACCTTGAAGGTCTTTGCTAGGACAGTGAGTCCTGACTTTATTACTATTGCTAAAGCAGTCACATTCTCTTCCTCGCAGGCAGTGTACTTTTCCTTAGTCCTCCCCTCCCATTTTTAGGCCCTGTTCAACACTGTACACCTCTACTTTAACAGAGTGGGGGGCATTATTTTCTTTTACAGAAGTGCAGGCTGTCGGGAGCTACTAAGAAGGTCTGTCAATATCATGGCCTTCAAAGTTCCATTTATGATGGTTAAGAGATCCATTAGGAAATCTGAAGGCTTGAGTTGCTTCATGTAAACATCCCTTCTTAGTTACAAGTTATACTCACAGCTTTTACATGTGTCAAAATAAAAAGTAACTCTGTATTGCAGCCTTCCCAGTAGCTACTGGACAGTGTGTGTTATTTACATTTGACTTTCTGAAGTAGCTATCCCCAAAAGCAAGCTTGCCTGTTAGAATAGAGAGATGGCAAGAGTTCGCATAATTCAGTTGTGAGACCAGGAGTTAATCCCCACTAATGCTTCTTGGTTTATACCATTTTATCTCTGAGAATGAAGGTAGAAGAACGAAGATTTTAGCAGGTGTACACTCTTGAAACTACTTCTCCAAGAGTTCCTCACTACTGGCATAGCAACATAATAGAAACTACCCAGACGGTTAACATTCTTCTGCTTTCCTACCAAATACTTACTAGTAAATCTCTTAATTGCATTCATTCCTCTACTTAAAATTAAACTGAAATTTATTAGCAAAAGTCTTTAGACCATTGAAACTCCCACATGAATAAATCTTACTGGGAAGAAAAGAATTGAGAAATTAGAAAATGGAGGGCTGGCCTCATAGCTCAGTGCACTAACGTGCCTAATTAGGCAGACTGTAGCGGCTGGGGTTCTACCCCTGGTCTGCTGTGCCAGCCCTGCCCAAGGGGCAGGCTGAGACAGCAACTGAGACTGAGCACAGTTGTGCACACTGTAATCCCAGTGCTTGGGAGGCCGAAAACAGGAGAATCACTAAGAGTCCAGTGTATGTAGTAAGACCCTGTAAACCCTGTCCTAAATGCAGAAAAAAATTAGAAAACTGAATAAAAGGTAGTATGTGCATTGGAAGGAATTTTTTTAAAAGGAGATAGCTCTGAATGCTTCTGTGGAGTTTACTATCAAGAACAGACAAACCTGCGTCAACAATGCCAGCAATCATCAGAGAGCCTAAGAAGTTACTTGGTGTAACTCCTCTGGAGTCACATTTGCCCTGCCGTACAGAATGGACAATTAGGACACCAGACTCAGTATAGTTTGCTGGCAATATAAGCTACTTGCTGAGAACTGTTACTTTAGCTACAAGTTTGCTTTTATGGGTAAGCCTCCTGCAACAACCCCTCCAGAACAGTCTCATTAAGAAGAACATGGTTTCACTGTGTTTATGCCCCAAAACTTCAGCAAAAAGGCCAAAGTGGCTGCTGCCATACTTTCCAGGTAGACATGAAACAGTGAGTGGGGAGAAGCCTGGGAGTCTGCGTGTTGGGTGCTGGAGGCCCAGTGTTACTAAGGACAACGGTCCACAGCCTGATTCCAAGTCAGGGCACTGATGAGGCAAACTGAGCTTCCAGGCACCACATAAGTTGCCAGGCTTCCTCTCATCTTTCCATCGCAGGGATCCAACAATGTGGAAAGCCCGCTTTTCAAGAACTGTGCAGGCTAGGCTTAAGACGTCCAGTTGGCAGCTTTATCAAGCTGCATGTGCTCAACCGCACAGCCACCTTCACAGCCCAACAGCTTTCATCAGAAGTACTGCTATACCCAGCACTGGACAGCTTGGTCACAGGAGAGCTGCAGCGGCTTCAGGCTGACTGGCATGGGGAAGGGAAAGGCAAGCACCAGGCCTCCTAGACAATTAAGCAGATTAGATGTGTAGATGCTGTGCACCTGAGTGTAACACAAGAATGCTTTTCCACAGATGGCAGTGTCTTTGACATCCACAAGTAAGATCTGAGTGCAGCTTGTGTTTCAAGTTCCCCTCTTGTGCAACTGATACAGGGCTCAATTCAAGGAAATGCACACCCTCCGACTCAGTTCTGTGACTGCCTCTTACGCAAGCGTGTGATGAGGAGCAAAGACAGCTCGTACGTAGGATAGAACATAACACAGGTGACTTAGAAGTTCTTGCTCAGATTTTGGGCTTGATCCAAAATCTTTAGATCCTAACCCGCTAGCTAGGAACAGCCACTTTGGCCCATCTTGCCAAAGTGGTCCTGACACTCTTCACTGAGGAGGTATGTTCGGCAGGCCCTTGCTTTCACCAGTGTGTCCGCACTATTAGTATTGATTATTGGGAAAAAACGGGCTTGCATCTTTCCAGAGGCAGAGTCCCAAAGCTGGTATTTTTTTATGTTTTGCTTTTTGTTGTTTTTGTTTTCAAGACATAAGCACTGCTTCTTCACATCATGATAAGGTCATTACCTTTTACACTCACGGGGAAAGGAAGCAGCTATCTTAAGTTCACATGTGCCGTCTTACGAAATAAGTGGGCTTCTGTATGGATTTAGCTCTACGTCAACAGCATGCACACAGCATAAACTGAATCGCAGTGCTCAGGAGAGGTGGTCATGCTGAACATCAAGGACATCTTGATGCCATCAGCGTTCTTAAAAACAGTTAACTCCTCACGGTTAAGAACAAGATGACTTGACTTTCCTAGTTTTTACACAAGGGAGCATACAGAGTCCGTTTCAAGTAGAAGAGCCCAGTAAGGAGGACTGCGGTATTCCAGGAATGGCTGTTGCAGTTTGTAGCCCAGAGTGACACTGAAATCAGTGAGGAACCTTAATTGTTTTATAATGACAGCACAACTGCCTTGATAAGACTTTTCTTAAATGCATATATATTTAAAATTAAAATATACAATTTACCAAAGATGCATAGTAGTAATTCTAAGCAAAAAAAAAAAAAAAAGAAAGAAAGAAACAAGGAACCCAAACATAATTGAAGACAAAAATAATCAAAATGTAGTCGTCTTACGAATTTAGTGGTTATACCAGAAAATGCATTTCAATTTTAAAATTTCTGTTCCAATAGTGTCAATGAATTTTTCTATGAAGGGAAAAATGCCTGCTTTTTTTGTTTTGCTTTGTTTTTTTGAGCTATAGCTTCACATAACCCTTTGCACTTTCCCTTAGTTGCTATTTAACATACAATGTCGGCTTTACTCCTCTCTAGAAGGCATGCTACAATCAAAAAGAGAGGAATTGTGAAAAGTATCTAGCCTTTATTTGTCTTAGCTGTTAAATTATTTTTAGTGGTTTTGTTAAATATTTGCAAAGGGAAGCATTTTCTACAGAGAATAATTTCAAGAAAAATATCTTGAGTTTTAAGAAATAAACATCTCCAAAAAAGGAGACAGTCAATTTTATAAAATGTCGCAACTCTCCAACATTTGGGGTAGTGACTCCTTTTTGTTAGGACATTTGAAACTAGCAAGCAGCCATTGTTTCTAAAGAATTCAGCCTTCATGTTGACTCATATTTCCTTTACTTCGTTTTGAAATGGCTAAAATCATTAAAACTGTAAATATTTTGTTGCTTGGGTAAGCATCTTCTGGGAACTTTGTATCTATGGTATATAATCATAGAATTTTATATTTTCATATAAAGCTAATTTTTTTCTAGTTTCAACTCTGTCATAATTTTCTTGATTTTTTTTTGTTTTTTTTTTTTGTTTTTTGTTTTGTTTTTTTGCTTTTTCTTGTTGTGGTGGATATGTGAATTCAACTTTCTGTGTACTGAAGTAGAAAGAACCATCTTTGCATTCCGAAAGAATCCAACATGTGTTATTTCTTTGAGTCAGTGATTGTGAAAGTTGGGCTTTCTTTTTAACTACACTGACCATTTGTGCAATAGGAGTTAGGCATAATTAGTCACTGAATACATTTGTCACATTGATCCCTTTGGAAAAAGTGATTTTTTATTTCTTTGGGGTGGGAGGGGTTTTGTAACCTGAAATTTTTCCCTTTTTTCTTCTGTTTAAAACTATATCAAATCATTCTATTATAGTGTTATTTAATATGTAAATTGTATTGCTATACATAAAATAAAGTATGGTTTTTGATGTATTCATTAGTGCTGTATATTTCTGTGAAAATATTTATATCTAGTAAAATCAAATTACGAGTTTCCCCAAAAAGATCATATCAATGCCTATCTTCTGTCTTCATTTTTATGGTAGTAAAATGAATATTAGTATTCGTCTTTATATGAAGTATCTGTACTGGCTGGATTCATCAGTGTTCCTCCTAATTTAAAGAGTAAGCGATGACAAGGTTTTATGTGTATACCGAATCAACCTTCATCTGCTTTAGGACTCTGCTGCTAGCCTGTAAAGAGAACTCTGTTTTCTCCAGCATATCAACTGCATTTGTGGCAACTTCTCCCTCTTATTTATTTAGGATGTGGGGCATATCACAAAAGACTTGGAGAATCCATGGAGTCTCTGCATGATCAGCATGGCTGCTTCTACTTTGAGGCAGTTCTGACATTTCCAGACATGGGCTCTCATGTCCTTTGGTCCACCATTCTCTCTTTTAGTGGCTCCATGTCAGTAGATCCACTCTGACTACCAAGTTTTCTTTCCATAGAAGAGCAGTATTACCTTTTTCCTAAGTCAATAGGAATAGAAAGTACACCAGTCTCTTCCAGAAGAATATGGAAAAACAATTTCAGCACAAAACAAGTACCTCTCTGATGATCAGAACCCAGTGTTTTTCAGATGCTACCAGACAGTATTTACCAAAGGGACATACAGGGATGAACTTTAGGTTGTGCATGCTTGTAATCAATCTAAGCCCTGGGAGGCTGGGGCAGGAGGATCTCTGAGTTCAAGACCATCCCAGGCTAAATAGTGAACTCAAGACCAGCTGAACTACATAGCAAGACCTTGTCTAACAACAAAAACTCTGCCAGGCAGAATGGTGCAGAGGGGGAAACCATATGCTTTACTGCCTCTTGAGCCCATGAAGAACCATGATGACTCTTTAAATCAGTTTAACAGCTCCATGCCTCTTATTGTCCAAGATGCAATTTTAAACAAGTATGATGTCTGTTACTAAGAATGGGACAACAAAGCAACGCAACAAAGCACTAAATCTCCACTTTGTAAAGAGCTAATTGTAGAACTTTATGTTTAGGAAAAAGTTATTGATAATATGTAGATTCAGAGGTGGGATTAAAGATACTCTTTTTATATTTCCACCTGTGTTAATGAAATCTAATAAAAGTGCTAGGGAATGCAAATAAAAAGTTGGCTACCAAGAAGTTAAAATTAGATTCTGTGATGGGAAGTTAATTTGGCAAGGAAGATCCAAAATTTATCTAAATCTAACAACTAAGTTGCC